TTTTTTACATTTACTAATTGCCATCACTATCTAACTGTCGGCCATTCTAGTAGATCCTATTCCAATATCAATTATGTATAGTTTATAGGATCTAGACCTATTCATATTTTCTGAGACATAAGTCTCATTTTACTGTAAATTTGGTTAACTTCTACCTAAAACACAAGGCAATCAGTCTACTTAAAATGCACACACATTTAAATATACGGGACTAGATGTAGGCCTACATTTACTAAAGTTGGACCCCGGCCCACTCTCATTACGTCATATTATCAGCTTTATTCGTCATAAAAATGAATAAACACAAACTTTGGTTTCTTACCGTACAAATGATACTGGAGTGAAAGAAAATCACTGCAGAATAGCGGATTATGTACAAGATTAAGATGTTGCTTCGATAAGAATCCCGTTGTTTGCAACGGGACAGCTGATCACGGCGAAGGTAAAAATGTACTAGAAGTATGTCCCGGCATGCTCGACGGCTTTTTTTTATTTTTTATTCTCGACTTTTTTGTTTTTTTTATTCTCAACTTTTTTTTTTTCTCGACTGCCTTTTTTTTTTTTTCTCGACTGCTTTTTTTTTTTTTCTCGACTGCTTTTTTTTTTTCTCGACTGCTTTTTTTTTTTTCTCGACTGCTTTTTTTTTTTCTCAACTGCTTTTTTTTTCTCGACTGCTTTTTTGGAAACTCGATTGCTTTTTTGTAAACTCGACTGCTTTTTTGTAAACTCGTTTGCTTTTTTGTAAACTCGATTGCTTTTTTGTTAACTCGATTGCTTTTTTGTAAACTCGATTGCTTTTTTGTAAACTCGATTGCTTTTTTGTAAAGTCGACCAATTATGACGGCTGTGGCGTGCCATACGAATCTGCTATTCTCCCCCGACTTTCCGGGGGAGATTAACTCCGCCCACAAAGCTAAACACGTTCGATGTACGCTGATTGGACGAGAAACCTGACAATCACTTTGGCGCATTACGTAATTCTCCGCCACCGTCACGAAGCTACTATTCTCATTATAAGGATTCCATACTTATTTTACATTTTTAGGTTGGACTGTTTAGTACGTTATTGCATTTTAAATGTGTATATGATTAAATAATCCTCTGTTTGTTGAAATAAATTAAAGTTTGGAAATTATGGAGCAAAACATGAACTGAATATTGCAAATTGAAAACAAACTGAGCTATAAATACTGACGTCCTGACGCTTGATATCGAGTTTACACAATCTGTGCTTTTCGATTATTTTGGCTTTAACGAGTTGGTTTTCTGAGTTTTACATTTAATTTTCATGATTTTGAGAACTGTTATTATCATCGTTTGTTAACCATAATCTGTTAGAACGTCTGTGGATAATCATCATCGTTTTACGGAGGAGAAGATTGCCGAAGCTTTGAAATATGGAGCTACGAAACTTTGACTGAATGATTCTCGAATCCAACATTTATTCATGGATAAAACAGTGAAGGGTATTCCGATTCAGTTAAAAGAAACTGCTTTCCAACGGAGCCCTCCCTCTCCACATGATACAAACAAAAACAGTAAACATAAAAACAAAACATGAATGAAAACATCAATACATTTCAATATTTAAAAAACATTTATACATTTGATTAAACGATATACATTGAGCGCACGTGGGATGCACGGTGAGACCCCCTAGTTTTCAGATTGTCGTGTTTTTTTAAAGCATGTTAGAGAACCGATACATTAATTGTTTCTTAAAATTGGGACGGACAATGGCAATTTCCGGTGAATGAAAAGGATCATTATTTTTTGTATTCTGTTTTAAGAAATGGTACTTGTTGAAGGCTTTGGGTGCATGGTAATTTCCTCTCTGGTTAATGTTCCTCTTTCCACTGGGGATATCAGATTTTCGAAATCTTACCTATTTTTGAGGAAGCGAACTTTTGAGAAAGGTCACACGCGAACTATATTCACACGTCCATACCTGTAACCAGTGGCGTACGGGGGTGTTCAGAAATTGGATGGCATCATTAATGTGACCCCGCGAGGTAGCGAAGCAACCGAACAGGAAAGGGTGTCGGAGGGGGTTATTCCATTTTACGTCGTGAATATCGATATCCTTGCTTAAAAAACTGTGCTTTTCCTGCATTACAAGTTTTTCAAGTTTCTTTTTTCTCTCCACATTTTATAGTAAATTAGAGACAGACATTTGAAATAGAAATCATATGGTAATGGTATATATTTACAAAAAACTCAATTCACGTGTCCGATTAAGTAAAATGTGAGGAACCTATTGAAAAGCATTGCTTGTAGATTATAGGTCCCTGATAAAATAGGCATTGTAGATTATAGGCGTACATGTAGGAATCTTTCTTGAAGTTGGAGGGGGGGGGGGCATTGAAGCTCTCATCCTGAAAATCTAAGTCCCTTTATGCTGGGAACCAGGGCCTTGGAAGCTCTGGGATTCTAGATTCTCTCTGGTGCAATATCAGCCTTATTTTAGTGCATTTTATGACATCTTTTCAGCACAATTTACAAGCATATCAGTATGAATTAAAAAACTCAAGATGGAAATTGTAGACACAATGGGCAGTATAGCCATGAGAGATAAGGTTTTGTTCTTCGAGATTTAACAGTTGCCTCTTACCGTGGACAAGTGCCTTGCGGAGCGACTTCCAAAGTAGGGGGGGGGGACACCTACAAAAAGGGTACTTTCCGGAAAAAAGGGGCACCCACAAAGGGAAACCTCAAAGCACAAATATACAATTTATAGACAATGGTAGGCCATATTGTGCCCCTACATTGTGATTAGATTATCAGGGATGATTTCATCGATTGTTGCTCTCTTTAAATTGCCCCAAATACTGCTTAATCATTATACTTTGCAGTTGTGTGTGATGGTCTGAACATTTATTCGTGAAGTCGAAATGCGAAACTTGAATTACGTCTTACATTTATAAAGATGAAAAGCAAATCCTAATCATGAAAGACTTAATAGATCTTTATATGAGAAACAAAATCATAATAACTTCAAATGCGAGCGTAGCGGTTGAGCTTGGGTGAAATCGAAGAAAAAATGTTCTTAGTCACTTTAAACTAGGAGTATATGGTAATAAGGGGTTTTCTGCCATACAAGTTTGGGGATCGATATCCCCCCCCCGGTTCCTACGCAAGTGTTGTAGATGGAAAACTGTGAGGCAGTAGAGAAAAACGTAATTTAGAAGGGGAATTTAAAACAAAAAGGAATGAGGAAATTTGTATAAAAATATAGAGTCACCTGGTTATTTGTCACCCGAGCAAAATTAATTAGCACGGCACCGCTGAACAAAACATCAAGTGTATGGATATAGTTATTTATTCGAGAATATGATACACGAAAGCTCACGCTGCATAAGATTACTTGGAGAAAACACAAAGATAAATGTTACACAATTTCCCAAATGTGAAATTATCATTTCAAGAGTTCAGCGGGAATTCCGGAAACTTCTTTTCTCTCTCTCTCTCTCTTTTTTAAAATTTTTATATATATTAAAAAGATATTAAAAAAATGGGGGGGGGGGGGGTAGACAGAAACGTTTAGGGGTGATTACCCCCCCTCCCCCCCCCCCCCCAAAAAAAAAAAAAAAAAAAAAAAAAAAAAAAAAACCTTATTTACATAATGGAATGATTCCCCACACTTTGAACATGCCGAAGAGCTTTTTGATTTCGTTTCACTGGCTTACTATACTTGATCCCCATATCAAAACATGAAAATCAACATTAATTAAATTAAAAAAATATAATACCATTAAGATGAATGATGTAGAACATAACGTCTATTATTATTATCGTTATTATTATCATTATCGTTACTTTTTTTTATCTTTTTTTTTTGTCGTTGTCATTATTGTCATTATTATTAAAGGAAAGGTTTATCATTTTAAATCCAAGAGATTTTTGAACCGGGCACAAACCTTTCAGATTTATTAAAGAATATCAAGAGGCTTAATATTTTTATTAAAATTCAAGTCTAACGGATAGTCCAAACAGCACGAGAAAAGAGGCACTAACTAGAAGCAGAGCTTGTTGAAGTGTTAGTTCCTCAGATGCTGTTTTACAATATGACATGAACAAAGTATGCTTTGAAAATCAATAAATAGAAACAATATGTAGCTAAGAAATTATAGATTTTTTTTTGGATTTTTTTTTTTTGGGAGGGGATTAAAAGAGAGGAAAAATGGAGGAAAATAGTAGAAAGCAAAAATAAAGAAAGATACAAAAGAGGGAAAATGAATGATTGCAAACATTTTAAGTCTGAGGAAGAATTTGGAATTGAAGTTCTAGAAATTAAGAGAATATGCGATATGATAAGACTAATGTCTGTCGTCCACAGATCTTCGTTCTTATTTCCCCCTCCTAAACCCTGAAGTATTCCGACCCCCCCCCTTTTCAGATCATCACATGATGTTCCCAAACAAGATTTCCCTTTTCCCCGTCGTTTGGGAAAAATAAAGAGTAATAATCTTGGTGGTCCAAATTCCTTATAGGCCTACTCAGGCTAGCTCAAAGCTCAATACGCTCCAAAGAAAATATGAAAGTTTGCCATGTATTGCAAAAACATATAAATCAAATTTGGCTGTGGCTCATCATTCCAACGATTACGAGCCACGAACGAAAGAGAATTGTATAGTAAGGACATATTTATATTTCATTTCATTCATTTCATTCACCGTCACGAAGCTACTATTCTCATTATAAGGATTCCATATTAGTTCGTGTGGACGGAAATTTGAGGATTGCGCGATCAGTGGAGAGACCGCGCTGTGTGTGGGATAAAAAGAACGAACGGACTGAATCTGGACTATATGGTATGGAGGTAGAGCTACAGAGCTGTGCTTTGAAATCCCCCCGGAGCGCCTGGGAAGTGCCTGGCATGGTCTGGTAGCTAACGTTCTCCAGTGCGACAGGTGAATTCGTGGGGAGTACGCATATCATACACGCGCGCGCATTTGGGAAAGGGCGAAAGATTAAAACGACCATAAGCTGGTCTACTTCTGTCATTGTCAAGCGAGCTGCAGCTGTTGTTACAGTATAGCGGAAAATCAATACCGAACATCAACGTTTATAATGCATCATTTCGTTTGAAATTATAGTGGGAAGAAGAAGAATGTGAAGGAGATTGAGGAGGGAATAACAAAACAAAAAACATGTGAGCAGCGCTATCATATTCGCAGAGAGACTCGATCCACCTCTTTGTTTATACCTCATCCATAACAGCTTGAGTTGGAAGATGAGCAACGTCGTCGCAATTTGCATTTGCTTGAAATCACATCATCTTTAAGTCCTACTACTATGGGGACGTGATCAGGATAAACGATAATCCAACATTGCCATGCTTTAACGTTGATGAGAAAGCAGTTCATGAAGAACATTGGCGGATCCTAGGGCTTAATTATACAGCAACTGTAAGGCAGGTATGTACACTCATAGAATAGAAGCATTAGTATACTACTATATACTGCATGTGTACGAACGGAATTCACAACACCCTCTATTGATTCTCAATTTTTTTCAAACACCTCTGTACAAAACACAACAGAATTCACTCAAAATCGGCACTTAAATAAAAAATGATGACACCCATATAGAGCAGTAAATTTCAATTAATTCAACTCACCGATGTTGGAAAAATATAAATTGAAAGTTTAAATGGGGAATCTAGATTGTCAATCCTGGCGGAGATCAAGCCGCTTCCATGCATTCATTGCATAATTTCCTAGACCAGATGCATTATAGGAATAGGTACATGTACCCGTGAACGTTACATGAATTTACAGTTCGTAAAAAGCATATTTACATGCATTGATTTTGTTATACTCTGGAAACAAAACCCTTTCAAGGGGCACTGCCCCCGGCCCCCCCCCCCCCACTCAGTGTTATTTAGGCATTTGTACGCATATGCGTGTTCCAACCGACCCCCCCCCCCTTTTCAGCAAAAGTCCGGTGTATAAAGTCAATACGGCTAGACCTTTTTCTTTTGTATACGAGCCTTTTTCAGCAACCCCCCTTTTCAGCAAAAGTCCGGTGTGTAAAGTCAATACGGGTCGATCTTTTTCTTTTGTTACGAAAAGGACATTTTGGCAACACGCATGGGGTCCGTCCGCACTGCCCTCCGTACCCTAGTCAGAGCGTTGCCCTTGACCCGGACCCGGCCCCCGTCCGTGTACGCTACGCTCGTTATGCTCTCTCTGCTAACAACAACAGGAAATCCATATGACTCTCATATATGGCATCTTTTCCAGACAAATTAAGAATTATGGAGGTATATTTTCAGATGATTTCTGGAAGAATTCGGGTAAAAACGTCAGCAAGCCTTTCTGGCAAAACCATGTAGTCTATTGATAACACCGTCCAACACCATCGTTGCGGTTACCTGAAACTTGTAAAGAGCATTGTGATATAGTGATAAGGGTTATTTACTCTCACATGATAGGTTCTGTGTTCGATCCTTACTCGGTGGTTACATCTTAAGACAAGGTTATCTGCCCACATTAAAGATAAACTCCAGTACTGGTAAAACAAAAAAAAATAATTCTCACAGAATCAAACGAAACTTACAGTTACACTGAATGTTCAAGATTACAAATAAATGACATGTGCCAAACAATTTTGGAAGAAAATGTATACTGGCTGAGTAATAAGCATAGAAATACAAGGAAATCAAGGTAGTACTAGCCCCGACACCATGTGTGTTGTCCCATATATAGCTTTCTATGTGAGTGCTTGTTACTTTACCAAGATTCGGTCAAATTTATTATGGTTTTGATGACTCCAGAACCTTCAGTGCTCACCAATACTTACATGCTACATGATCAACTGTTTCTGATCCTTTCCACACCTTTTCTTTCACAATGCAATCGCATTACCAGTACTAAAGTTTATCTTTAACCCTATTAAATGGGCCTCGTTTAATAAACAGTCGTGATTGATATCAATCGCAACTATGCACATAACAGATATAAGATTGTTAACTTGCGATTGATAAGAGGACTTGCGATTGATTTGGATCAATCCCAACTCTCTATAAGACGGGGCCAAGGTGTAATAAATGAGTACCAGGCATTAGGCTTGCAATGTACGGGTAATACAGAGGCCGCTGGAAGAGCAGATTAAAACTAATGTTGCTACCCTATGTGCTTGTAAGACCTAATTTATTATTCATTTAATATTTGAGAATATGAATGCTCCGTTATTGGTGATCATAATTATACCACCTTTTGTTTAGAATGTTCTAATTAATACGTATATTTACAATTAGTTGGTAATGTAAATCGTCATTTCAAAACAAAGTGTACCTTAACTTAACCTTTTTTTTTGGTTTTAAATCGATCCTGACCGAATTAAAAAAAATATATAAAAAAAGGTAGTAGAGCCCTAATGAGGGATAGATGAACGGTATTGAAAAACATCCAAAAGCTTACTGAAAAGTAGGGCAACATGAGATGACTAATTATATTATTATGCGCTCCTTGTAGGTGACAGTCGACCGGAAAACAATGATTAACTCTCTCTATCTCTCTCTCTCTCTCCACTAAAAACCTAGAACTAGCGATTGGCAGACTTTTGAAAAAAAGTAGGGTCACCACCGACTAGTTAAAGGTAAAGACCAGTTATGGTCATGCGATTGCATTGTGAAAGAAACGCAGTGGAATCGATCAGAAAATGTTGATCATCTAGCATCTAGCATCTAGCATCTGCAAGGTTCTGGAATCATCAAAATGATAAGAAATTTGGCCCATTCTTCGTAAAGTTACAAGCACTATACACAGAAAGATGTATATGGGACTACCATAATATCTCTCACAGACCATGAGAGAAACAAATTTACCATATATATGAATTAGTAGGCTGTTTCCCGGCAAATTTGTTATCATCATGTATTAGACAAAAACAATTCTTTCACATGATTGGTATATAATGAGAGCTTCCATTTCATTTTTTTGAAATTGGGGCGTTTCCAATACTGGTCTTTACCTTTAAGCACTTAGGGGTTAAAAAGCATTATAGAAATCTCATTGTACCTCTCATTGCAAAGAATAAATGGTTAGATAGCGTTTTCCTAAAGCTGAATATTTCATAAGGTAAGCAATGAAGAATTTTGTTTTTCTTCCAAAGATTTGTTAAAACCGAAGGTTCGTTCTTCCTTAGCTTTTTTTTTTTTTTTTAAGCAATCCTTTTTATGGTGTATGTATATGCCATAATTGTATCTATCCTTTACCTATATGTTTTGTATTGTTTACCTATATGGCTTTATTACATTATTATAAGCCTATAGGTTCCTTATACGAAATAGAGCGGTAATTGAGCGACAAACTTCTCATCAATGATTCAGTCAATATTTCGTTTTTTAGATGTCGCTAGTATTCCAATGATCCACGTGAAACTTAATTAATATTTATTTTTATTATTTCCTTTTCGTCCATCCCAAACCGTGAAATTTAATTATGATCACATACTCATACATGTATTGTCCCACCGGAGGATACGGGAAAGGTCGGTACCCCAGTTATGACACTTAACCTGAAATCGTGATCTTCGGATATTTCTTACTCAAATTTGCCAAGATGAGCCTATAGTGTGTGTCAAAACCAAAGACTAATGCGCTGCTCAGTTTGGGTTGACGTCCCAGCACCTGTGTTACAATAAAAATGGACTTTTAGATTTACACGACGAGAGCGTGGGCCGTGCCCGGTAGTGCCTTAAAAGGACGTCACATTATCTTAAAAGGATGTCACACGTGGCAGTCCACGTTCTCGTCGTGTAAATCTGAAAGTCCCTAATGTAGCCCAGGAATTGATTCAGGGTTGCCCAATGGAAGAGGAATTTCAAGGGTATTTATTTTCCCGACATTGTTAATTTTACTTCTTCCCAGGAATATAACCTCTGAAAACCTGCCACCGCCTAGTCTGGGTCTCGGAGTCAGTATGGAAGGCGTGCATGAGATTGGTTATGAACAAGCAAATTTGTATATAATAAAAAGAAATATCCCATAGTGTTCTCCTCCTCCTTTGTAACAAAAAAACAAACAATGAGGGGGGGGGGCGGGTCCATCGCCCTCCGTATATCCGCGCCTGAGTGACACCCACACAACTAACCTTATTTATTACAGAACAAAAAAATGAAGAAAGAGCCCCTCGACACCATAGGTGTAAGTATTCAGCCAGTTCCTACCCCCCACCAATATAAACTTTAAAAGTGATTTTTTTTCTTCTAATTTGATACCAGTGATATACAGATGTTGCTGAAATGGCCTAATTTTCCGGGATTTTTACTCGCTTTTTAGTAAATTATACTTTTTATGCGTTTGTTGGAGAATGACATATATCACAATTTACAGTCAGGCAAGAAAATGTGCTTATTTACTATTTAGAGGCCGACATGTCAGGTCCCGCGGAACGGCGGGCTTGGGGGCTCAAGCCCCCCTCCCCCTCCCCACCCCCACACTTTTGAAAAAGTATATTAAAGAGAATTAAATAGAAAGAAATGGAAAAGAAAGTATGCTCATGTAACCGTAATTAAATGCCCATACCCCTGAGCTAATTCCGGGGGCTCTGCCCCCTGGACCCCATCTTGGGCCCTAAGGCTGGCCCCTGGATGCTAATCTGACCTTAATTGTAATGCCTAAAACCCCTGCGCTTCCGGGGGCTCCGCCCCTTGGACCATACGCCAATTGGTGACCTGCCAGTGTCATGAATATGGTATTAAAATATGCTCATCTGACCGTAAGTACGAAGCCACGTACAATCGATTGCAACAGTAATTGTGGGGCCAATATCACGAGTATGCCTTCATAGAATAAATGTTTTAAAGAAAATATTCACTTCTACTTTCAAAAGGACTGGCCTATTTGCTTTAAAAAATTGTAGAGAGTTATTATTATATAATTTCTAGAAAAAATGCCAACCACATGATTTACAATGAGTCTAAATACATTGATTTGCCGAGTTTCTTCCTTTTATCAAATATACACGTAAAACAATGGGGGGGGGGGGGGGGGGGGGACAGACTGCGCGAGCAAAAACCCGCATATTATGTCCGACGGACAAACGAAACTGGTTAGAAAAAGGGAGTCTTATAGTGCAGACTCAATTTTACGACTGACCAGGGTTTGTGCTTGCAGACTAGTTCTTAACAGCTATCCCTAACCTTCTAAGTATTTGTTCCTTGTATACATTGTAACATTAACACATTCTTTCAAATTATTATTGACTTCCTCAGGTCTGACTCTCTTCGCAGCAGATCATGGTAGCTGCCGCTGATGGTGATCATTCACGAGATCGTTGGGTTATAAGGGGACGTCAACATGGTGGCTGTCAATGCTCGTGATCGTCCACGTTCGTTGACGACCGTCTTCAAAATCGAACGGTTCATCGCCCTCGTCTTCGCCGGCCTCGAGATCATAATCCACGCTGGGGCCATCTGGGGTTGGCCTTCCTACGTCTACGTTCTCAAGCAGGATGGATTCTTCGGTGACCTGTGCCACACTAACAATGATCCCGCAGGGTATTCGCAGAACTCTTCTCTGGAGAAATCAATTGTAACTGTCATTGATATTGATTTACCATCGCCCTCCGGTGTACCGCAGGGCGTGGGTTGCTATGACCAAGATGCCATGATACAACTGGTTTTCACAGTTTCCATGGGAACGAATCTTGTCTGCTCCTGCTGGCTATCGAACATCATCGACAGATTTGGAATACGGTTTGCAAGAATATTCATATTGTAAGTTATTTATAGTTTTCTCCTTACTGTTCTATATCCTTACAAAAATAAAATATCATTTCTATGAAGAAAAAAAAGAGTTTTGAAGATCGTTGCATCTGAATTAAAGGTATACATTACAAAGTGTATTATCATATTTATTTTTCACCTATCAAGGCATTCTTAGATTTTCCTTCGTACACTATGCCATAACCAAGAAATTGAGAAAACTCTGTAACACGTTCTCACGTTCTTATATCTTGACCATTTTACCAGATAAGAAGTAAATATACCTATTCATAGGATGGTCAGGGCCCAAGCGAGGCACCCTTGTTTTAAGAGAAAAGAATAGGAATGGGGTTTATCGGTTTTATTTTTCAAGCATGAAGTATCTCCAAAAGTGACCTTCTGTGATGATGCCCCCTTTGTCGTGATATTCTTCCTCCCTTTTCACCGATATGTCTTTGTTTCTTTTGGTTTGTTTTCCTGTCAGCGTTGGCTGTTTAGTGAGTTATATTCTATTTGCAGTAGCCACGCCTGAGACCGCGTACATGTTATTCCCAGCTATGACTATCTTGACGTCATGCGGCACTTTACTACTCACTGTTAACTTACAGGTAAACTTGATCAATGTTCTAAAGGATTAGATCTCATTTGATATTCATGGCATGACTTCTAAAACGACACATTCCTTTTTGGTCAAAAGAAATACGGGCAGGCTCAAGGTATTTGGTCAAGTGGTGTCCCATACGATACCGTAGGTAAAAATACATCAGAAGTATGATTTTGCTTCAACTTTGGTCTGATCAGTCCTCTAGCAGGACTATCAACTTTCAAAATTAATCAGAAACAACTGCAATATTTGTAGTTTTAACATATGGGACAAAACGTATTTTACCTGCCCTGTTGCCCACAAATCAAATAGGCTATGAAGTCCAATATGTTGCTCTGGCAAAATCGAAGCCAGAGCACACGTCGTAGATCCTAAGAAAAACGTTCATTGTAAACTCTAAATTGTGCCAGAATATTGAGTAAATCGTGTTCTCAATGTTTAATCATTATTTCCTTAAGTTACCGAAACCTTGGAAACTATTGATATGTGGATTCGCCAATTGATTTTAATTGTATTTGTTAGGGTGTGTTGCATCTATGACTGATGCTGTTGTTCTATAATCCATCGATCGGTCTTTTGTGTTGGCACTTCATTACCTGAGAAACATTGGTAGTTTGCAAGAGATTTTATATTCAGTTATTTACTTTTGTCTGGTATACAAATCCGGCACTTTTTTTTTAATTAAAATGGCTTGTGTTATTGACGTCTACCTTTTTCACACAGGTCGGTAATCTTTTTGGTCGAGGTAAAGCTACCGTGATGTCATGGTTAAATGGATGCCTCAGTGCATCAGTCATCGTATTCTATCTCGTTAAGGTAAGGTGGCGCTCTATATTCTTACGGTTTACCGTGTCAGATGTGGACGTAGTTCTATATTTGTGAATGACGCTTCCGGTTGTATTTAAATGCATTTAGTAATGATGTATATAATTCTTTCAGCGATTCGTACCAGGGTACTTGAAACCCCAGCCAAATGGTTTCCATTTACGTTCATTGTACATTCTGAAACATATTTACGCAGAGAGTTTCATCCGAAAGGTGGTCGGCCGGATCACATCATTATATCGATACTATCATGACTGTTACTATCACATTTCGTTATTATCCCTCTTTGGTTGTTATCTCAGGTCGCTCATGAGTCGGGCATACCAGCTCGATACTCATTCATCTTCCTGGCCGGATCAACCCTCTTGATGCTCATCAACACCATCATGATGCCCAAGAAACGTATCCCATGGCCCCTCCCGGAAGGATACCGGCTCTTGACTTCCCGGAAGGAGTCTCTGCCGTCAAACAATGCGGAGGTCAGCCAATCGCCAGAGTCGAAGCCCTGAGAGACGACACCGATCCAGGAGACACTGACGTGATCGAGAAAAGATGCCCAGAGAATGAGATAAAGACTCACACACATTTTAATGGTACTGTAATAACCTTCAATTTCTCAATTTTCAATTTCAGTTTATTTGCTCATAAAAATCCAGAAAACACATGCAAACATTCATAAATCAACATGATACAAAGGGTAAAATTCACAAGAAAAAATAATAACAAAGTATACATTTGGATTAAGTATGAGAGGACGCTACAAAAAATAACAAATCACTTACAACAACATAAAGGGGGGGGGGGGGTGCCTATACATTTAAACAAACAAACTTGGTGAATACCTGTCTAAAATAAAGTGCCTAGATTTTGACCTTGGGCCAAACCCTCGTTAGTGGGAGTGTCGTGGTCGAGTGGTTTAAGGCGCTTGACTGTAGATGCGAAAGTCGAGGGTAGGAATCCCGAGAATACAATCATGATTTTGGAACTAGGGGATTAACATGGACATAATGCACTTGTTAACATGACCACATTATCTCTTATTCATTCTACCTCCAATGTTTTCAGACTGTTTTCAAAACAATATCATGTTTGTCGATCATAGTTCTATGTAGCTTGATGTCTTATGGTAATTTAATCAATCTAAGCAACAATTTTTGAATTTTAGCGACAATCGTTCGCCATTGCTGCTCTTTAATACTATTATGACGTGCAGTAACAAATTGAAATTTCAGAACTCATGATAAATTCGTTTAACAGTTGATTCTACTTGGTTGATTCTATTGTTCGGATTATTTAGAAGAACGAGATAGAAATTGACATTCTCATGGCTAACGACTTTGCGTTCGTAGTTGTTCATCGTCTCTACAATGCTATTTGAACAATATTTGGTGACAAAAGAAAAAAAAAGTTGATTCTACTTGGTTGATAGAAATTGACATTCTCATGGCTAACGACTTTGCGTTCGTAGTTGTTCATCGTCTCTACAATGCTATTTGAACAATATTTGGTGACAAAAGACGGCATTTCTATGTAGCTTCAAAGGCCATCAAATAACAAAAACATGGCACATGAAAAGATCCTCAGTACTGGGTCTGATTTAAAGAAAACTTAATTTGAACCCGGCCATATTCTGTCTCTCTCTCTCTCTCTCGCTCTCGTTTGTCATTGCCTTCATTTTCCTCGCTTAATTTATTCTTACCACGGAATATGTAATGTTTATGCACGTGTATGCCTCAATCATTGAGAATATACTCACTAATATCGCTGAAATGATTCTTCTCCTACCACTTTTTCTTCATTTACTTCTTCTTAGTAGTTGTAGTAGTAGTAATAATAGCAGCAGTATCATAATAATCATTATTATTATCATTGTTATATTGATTATCATAGTAAATATCGTAATTATAATCATTATTATAGTAATTATGTGCTATTGTTATTATTCTTATAGTTATTTGTATGCTTCTTCTTCTTATCATTATTATCGTATACACAATATGTCATGTGCCAAGAATTTATTGCTACGATATATCCAAGATGTCTACCATAACTGTCAATTCGTTGCTGAAATATTATCAAGCCAAAAGAAGGAACATTAGAATTTCTATTTTAAATTGAAATAAATTATATAGGAGAAATAAATAGAGAATACAATCATGATTTTGGGACTAGGGGATTAACATGGACATAATGCACTTGTTACATGACCACATTATATTCATTCTACCTCCAATGTTTTCAGACTGTTTTCAAAACAATATCATGTTTGTCGATCATAGTTCTATGTAGCTTGATGTCTCATGGTAATTTAATCAATCTTAGCAACAATTTTTGAATTTAAGCGACAATCGTTCGCCATTGCTGTTCTTTAATACTATTATGACGTGCAGTAACAAATTAAAATTTCAGAACTCATGATAAATTCGTTTAACAGTTGATTCTACTTGGTTGATTCTATTGTTCGGATTATTTAGCAGAACGAGATAGAAATTGACATTCTCATGGCTAACGACTTTGCGTTCGTAGTTGTTCATCGTCTCTACAATGCTATTTGAACAATATTTGGTGACAAAAGAAAAAAACAGTTGATTCTACTTGGTTGATAGAAATTGACATTCTCATGGCTAACGACTTTGCGTTCGTAGTTGTTCATCGTCTCTACAATGCTTTTTGAACAATATTTGGTGACAAAAGATGGCATTTCCATGTAGCGTCTAAAGCCGTCAAATAACAAAAACATTGCAGATAAAAAGATCCTCAGTACTGGGTCTAATAATTTAAAGAAAACTGAATTTGAACCCGGCCATATTCTGTCTCTCTCTCTCTCTCTCTCTCTTTCTCGCTCTCGTTTGTCATTGCCTTCATTTCCCCTCGCTTACTTCATTCTTACCTCAATCATTGAGAATATACTCACTAACGTCGATATATATATATATGGATAGATCATAACGGGAGAAGCATTTTATATAGGATATGAAATCGTGAAAATGCATTCTTCATTGTGTAAATCATAAGCATACGTATCACCTAATTCGTCAAAGTGACGAATTAAAGTCTAGTTAGGTGATACGTAACGAGGTCTACGTTTCACCTTTTGATTTCGTCAAGATTTTTATTATCAGGTGGGCTGTATAACGTACAGACCACCTTATAATTTCGTTAGAATTGCCTTTATTATTTATTTATTATATATTTTTCTCTATAATTTAAATTATCCTCGTCTGAATTAAGTTCCCCTGCCCTACCCCGCGTGTAGCGCGGAAGCTTTGACGTTTCATTAATTCATTAGAGAAAGAAGACGATTCGTTGTACCGTTCTCGACTCTTAATCCTTGTCTGAATGTCAAATATGTTCTTTGTCTATTCCCTTTTCTTCCTACGTCCTCTTCCTTTACACTCCTCTCTTTTTTGGCCGGCGTTTATTGGGGGACCACCCCACCGCCCCCCTGGCTACGCGCCTGCCGTCAGATGAACATATGTTGATACCTTGTCCGCCCCGGAAGCTCAGGGGTTTAAGGTTTTAATTTACGGTTAGATTAGCATTCAGGGGTCCGCCTTAGCGCCCTAGACGGGGTCCAGGGGGTAGAGCCCCGGAAGTTCAGGAGTTTAGGCATTTAATTACTGTCAGATGAGCATTATTTTGATACCTAATTGTTACAATGGCAGGTCACTAATTGGCTTAGGGTTCAGGGGGCGGAGCCCCGGAATCTCAAGGGTTTTAGGCACTCAATTACGGTCAGATGAGTATCGAGGGGCCCGCCTTAGGGCTCTTGGTTGGGTCCAGGGGGCAGAGCCCCCAGAAGCTCAGGGGTTTTAGGCGTTTAATTACGGTCAGATGAACATTTTTGATACCTTATTATTTGTGACACTAGCAGGACACTATTTGGCGTGGGGTCCAGGGGGCAGAGCCCCCAGAAATCATGGGTTTTAGGCATTAAATGACCGTCATATGAGCATCTAAGGGCCCACCTTAGGGCCCTAGGTGGAATCCAGGGGGCAGAGCCCTTAGGATTTTAGGCATTAATTTTAATCATGGTCAGATGAGCATATTTTGATACCCCATTATAATGTGACACTGGCAGTTAACTATTTTTTCTTTCTCGCTCTCTTTCTTCTATTTCTCTTTAATATACTTTTTCAAAGAAAGTGTGGGGGGGGGGGGGGGGCTCGAGGATCCCGATCCCCGCCGTTCCGCGGGCCCTGATATGTAGGCATCTCAAGAAGCATTTTCTTGCCTGGCTGTAAATTTAGCAATTTGTCATTTTCCAACAAACGCATGAAGTGAGGAAAATTATCTCATTTCAGCATTATTTGTTAACCACCGTTATGGAATTATAAATAAACCACGTTTGAATTCTATTTCTCCAACACCCCCCCTCCCCTATCAGTATGCCAGTGCCCCCCCTTCCGATCTACACCTTGTTGGCGGGAAAATTGCATGTGATATCCCTTACCTGTCTTCATTCTCTTTTTTTTCCTTTCCCTTTCTCTCCTCTTTCACTTTCCCTTCCCTTCCTTATCTCTCTTTTAGGTTTGCTGGGGGGGGGGGGGGGGGAGGGGCACGGTCATTTTGGTCCCCAACCCGCTCCACACATTGTGCGCGGGATTAACCGCAACTGATCCCCGCTCTTTTCTCCCTTTTCTTTTTTCTTCCTCTTTTTGTTCCCTTTTAGCTCTCCTCTTTTCCTTTTCCTTCCTTCTCTCTTTTTAGCGGGGACGGGGGGGGGGGGGGGGGGGGGGGGGGTCTTTTGCCCCCCCTCGATCCACAACTTTTTGGCGGGAAAATTGCAACTGATATCCCCCTTCTTTTCTTTTCTTTTCCTATTTTGTCCTTCCCTTTATCTCGTCTTTATCTTTTTTCTTCCCTTTCCTTCCTTCTCTTTATTCTTTTTTTTTGGGGGGGGGGGGAAGGGGGAGGCAAGTCCTCCCCCCGATCTCCTTCTTCCCTCTTTTTTCTCTTCTTCCTCTTCTTTTTTTCCCTTTCTCTCCTCTTTCCCTTCTTTTCCTTCCCTCTCTCTCCTTTTTTTTTCTTTTGCGGGGGGGGGGGGGGGGGGGCAAGGCACGCTCGGCTCCCCCTGGATCCGCGCCTGAACAGGGAACCGGCGGCTTTAAGACCTCTCCGAACGAAATGTAATGTTGAGTTATGCCTTACCAAAGGGCACTAGCATATCGACTTGGTTGTTTCTAACCATGCAGGGAGCTCCCGGTTACGAGCTGCACTGCTCTACCACTGGGCTATAGCGCCTCCCTCCTTTTTAAAAGATCTTTTAACATTTGCGGGTTTTTTTTTTAGAATAAGAATCAAAACATGTTTGGTATGTTTTTGTATCTGTGCATTATGATTTCAAAATTTCACTTTCGCCACTTAATTATACAAATCTACGAATAAATGATTCGAATGTTAGAGCAGAAATCAATGTTTGTATTTGTGTCCCTGCCCGTTTTGCGATCATTTAGTACATATAGCGCAAAGTAGAAGTCGAATGATAAATAATCACCATGAACTGATTAATGTTTTGTATTGC